GACCTTAGCATGCATGGCATAATAAAATTTTAAAAGTCTAGTAAATTTCCAAAACAATTCCATTAAAATCTAAAATCCAAATAACAATGTAACATAAATAAGATAACCCGAAAATCCAAATCTAAAGATGAAATGATAAATAAAATAAACCCAAAATACAAAAAACAATTTAGGGATTTTAATTTGAGGAATTTGGATTACGATTTAACCATCGGTTCTCTAACCTGACAATTTGGCACTGTTCCATCAGTTTAACCTATGTCAATTCGGTCTAACTACTATAACTGGATTTAGGATATACTAGGACCGGATAAGGGTCTATTTGGACTGGCCGGTCCGATCTAGGTTTTAAAACAATGGTATAATAACTTTTTATATAGATTAATTAATTTATGTATATGATGTGATTAAGATAATTAAAAATTGAAATAGATTACATAACCTTCATAATTAACTACGTAATAAAAATATTAAGTAGATATTCGTAAAGGAATGAAAAGATGAGGAGAAAGTAAAGAAAAAGATGAAAAATAAATTAATAGGCGACATGAAAATGATATCAGTTCCAACTAAATAAAACATAAAACAAGCACCATCTGTTCCCAAGCCATTGCCAGAAAACCATAAGAAATAAACGTTCATGGACAACCTAAGCACAATCCAAATTCCATTTCTAACCACTCTTGTTTCTCAAATTTTCAGTAAACGAACAAATATCCTGAACCCACTAACAGAATTAGGATGCTTGGTGAAAGCACAAGAGCAATATTACCTAGAGAACAGATGAGAAGAAGAAACCATCTCAATCAAGTCCATCTCTTTCTTTCCATATTGAAGGGCCTGATGATTATCTCCCTGGAAGTACTCCATGGTCGTGTAACTATTGTAGCCATAATCAACGGGAGATGAAGAAATGTTGGCTCCGTTCAACAGATGAGACAAGCCAAGATCAGAATACAGGTGGGTAGTGTGAGTGTCTTGCACTTGAAGGCCATTAAGGGATATGTTTTGGTTTAGAGTGGAAGAGAAACCACATTGATAATCAGCAACGTCGGTGAGTTGTTGATGATCAGAAGAATCGAAACCTGATGAGGAAATCATTAGATTCTTGGTTCCATCATATTGAATGGAGGATTGATTGTAACAGTTGTTGGCAAAGAAGTTTTGCATGAAGACTAGTTCTTCATCATATGTTTCAGTAATCAGTGGTGGAGAATCATTGGTGGTGGTTTCAGATAAGTCCGGAAGACAGTAATTGAAATACGTTGAGGGGTCTTCCGATACGGTGGAGCTAGCTGGGGTGGCGGCAGCGGTAATGATGGTGTGTGTGGTGTTGATTAGATTTATCTTGCTTCTTATGTAGTCTTGAAGCACAGAAGATTGAGGCTTTGAATTTGAAGCCTTTTGCTTTTGTGTTTGTTTGTTTTTTCTCCTTGAATTCTGCCTTCTTTTTGTGGCATTCCAGTGGTTTTTTATGGCATTTTCAGTTCTTCCAGGAATGCACTTAGCAATCTCCGCCCATCGATTCCCAACTTTGCCATGAGCTTCAACTAACAATCTCTCTTCTTCTTCACTCCAGCTCTCTTTCTGAATCAAGAAATAAAAACACACCAAATTAAAGAAGCAAAAAAATGCATACAATAATAATTAAGACTAAAGCTCTAGCCTTAAGGTATGAACGTTGACACTAATTGACAGAGATTAAAACAAAACCCTAGACACTTAATTTTCAAAAGATGCTACTTCAAATACAGCTTTCTATATAAATATACAGGAAAACTACCTATGATTTGTTCGTGGGAAGAATTATTTTTCAAATAAATCTAAACCCTAGTTCTAGAAATGAAATATCTGAAATATATGATCAAAGGTTTCTCATTCTTAAAGAAAAATATCTGAAATTATGTGATCTCTTACGTTAATTGAATATATAATCTAGGGTTTGATTATATACTTATATAATACACTTGAAATTGACAATAAAATATCTGAAAATCTAAATAAAATTTTATTCTTTTAATTAACAGAAATGATAATTGAGAAATTAGAAACAAACCTTAATATCAGGGCGCAAATGATTGTGCCATCTCTCACGACACTGCTTTCCCGCTCTACCAACCATCTTCTCAGCTATTTGAGCCCATTTTCGTACTCCATATTGCTTCACCAACTTTATCAGTTTCCTACAGACAAATCAACGAAACCCTAACACAGTTTAGCTTCAACTCAAGTACCGAAACCAAAGATGATAAAGAAATTATATAGAACCAGTTTTCCGTAGAATATCACCTGTCTTCTTCATCAGTCCATTGCCCCTTGATCAAAGCTTGAGAAGATCCTTTCTTAGCCTTTTTCACAGTCCCTTTAGAACTACTCTTTGGTGCAACTTTTGTTTCTTCTTTCGAATGCACGTTAAGGTTTCTACCATATGAACTGTTTATTAGAGCACTCTCACCATCAACAAAGCTCAACTCTTGGATGTTTGGCCACAAAACTTCACCTCCATAACCACTAATTGCACCACTAAATGAAGAAAAAGTACCACCACCAGTCAATCCATTCGGTGTTGTTTCTTTGTTTCTCGCATTGTTTTGTGGCTGCTGCTCGGAATTGGAATGACAGCTTTGACCCCATAAAAACCTGTCTATGGCTGTTAATGAAGGAGTGGATCGATATATGAGAGGCTTATTGCTTTGTAAACTTTCGTACCCAAACCCACCTCCCCTTCCTCCTGGTTCCATGACAGGAGCTTGAAGAAGATTAAAATTAATAAGAAAAGAAAGGACTAATATTAAAGGCGTTGAAATATGCTTGAATTTTGGGAGAGCTTTAAGTGATAATTTTTCTTTCTTCTTCCCTACTTGCAAGAAAACTCCACAACAGAAGCTAAACATAAAGCTTGTCCCAAGCCTTGTAAAGTGCCACATGGCATCATAGCCGTCCATCTGGAGATGAATCCAACGGCTGAGAATTGTCCGTAGCTGTAACTCCTGAGCTTCCTCCCTCGGACAAAAGTAAATACGAAGGGAGATATTAGTGGGTTCGTTATTAAGCTCATGATAAATAATAATTTTTATTAAAATTCCAAAAATATTAAAGAAAATTAGAAAGTGTTCTTTGATCATGTTTAAAAGACGATTTGACCCTTACTAAGTAAAATTGACAAAGGGTAGAATTTGTCCTGTAATTAATTAATTAAAATTGGAAGTTGAAAAATTCCAAATTATGGGGTGCCCAATTCATTTAATAACAATTATTGGGGTGATGAAATTCAGGAGAATTCCAAGCCCTGGTTTTAACTGCTTTAATGGCTACCAAATAAGGCATATTGCTTACGTGTCTCTCTCTCTCTCTAATTTATATATACCACGTGTACAAATTAGGATTTAGTTTGCTACATCTTTGCAATTGTGTTGACTCAGTGATTGACCAATTGACCAAAGTTGACTTGCCAAGTATTGGTGTCAAAATCCCATGTCGTTAGGAGGTGAGGGTCTTAGGCTCCGTTTCGTTCATTATTCTGATAGTTTTTAGAATAATATTTTAAAAAAAGTTAAATTGGGTGGGTATTACGATGTAGGATTTAGAAATTAACAAAAATACCGCTGATGTTTGTTTATTTACTAAACACCCTTATAATAAAATATTAAAAGTTAATAAAAACACCTCTAACCCACCTATTAAATACGGACAGCCGGCCACCACCGTCGGAGAGTGGCCGAAGTGTTTTTGCAATTTCTAAAAAAAATATTTGGGGGTGTTTAGTTAAATTAACAAATTTATGGAGGTTTAAAAGAAATTAAAAAATATATAATAATATTTTGAAAATAATGACATTTTACTGTTTAACTTTATAGAGAATACTAATAATAGTATTTCCAATAGCGTAACAAACAAAGCCTAGTTACTGATATATCCTCACAACCCAGAGGTGTCTTTTCAACACAAAATCCTACGGACTTTAAAGCCCAAAACAAACAATACTTCTAGAAACTTACTTACCATTTGTTTGGATCCGACGTACACCGACACCGAGATTCAAATAAGACTTTCTTGTTGACAATTTGTAAATTGTAGCACGAATGGTGAAATAATTTAATAATTTTGATTATTAGAAAAATAATAATAATAATATTAAAAACATTCAAAATTTGACCTTAGAGATGATCTCATAAATTATAGTACGTGTTGCGGACAGTCTTTTAATCACTTAAATGCATGCCTTTAACGAATCAACTATCTATAATAAAACTTTTGCTGAACGGTTACCAAAGTTAAATGGTAATATATTAATTGTGCATGTTTTACTTCATTTTTTAGGCACAATTTGGGTAATTAGGTCCAATGTTTTAGCCTTTTACTAGCTAAGTGGGTTGTATTTCTAGGCCCAAACAGCTTCTTTTCAGCGTTATTCGATAATCGATACAAAGATTATGTAGGAATTTCTGTCTTTTGGAATATTCGGAAAGTGCCAAAGCCTATATCGCCAATCTGTGCTCGGTGATATGAAAAATGCTAAATGAAATGGTGTTTAGGGGAGCAAAAAATAATCCAATACAGGTAGTTCAACAAGTTAAAATGCTAAACGGGGAAGTCGAATTACGCAAGCCAACTTTAAATATGATTGAGCACCCAAATTCCACCTTCTTCTGTAATAATTGGATTGGTCGAGTGGTAAAAGGCTTGGAACTTAGGGGTTTGCTCGCCTATGGTTTCAAGTTCGAATCATAAGAATGGTTGCTAAAATTGTTGGTCATGGATCGCAGGGTTTACCCTATTTTAAAAACCTTATTCGAGATCAGATGACTAGTCGAAATGCACATAAGCTCGCTTGAACACCCTCAATAACCCAAAAAAAAAAAAAAAAAAAAATGTGTGCTAGCAACTAGGCAAACATCCAAATTTTTTGCTACAATACTCCTTGTAGTAGAGGGGTTAGCTTTTAGGGAAGCTATAGCTTTGGGTTGCAATATGGGTTTGAATAAGGCCTTGCTAGAAACATACTGTTTAGATTGTCTGTGCTAACTCGCACATACCTCAACTAATTCCTTAGACTATGAAATTATCGGTTAGGTAAGAACTCTAATAATTACCCTATAAGCGATCAAGTGAATCAAACTCAAGACCAATGGTAACAAATCAGGTTAACAAAGTCCATATTTAAAAAAAACTGGAAATGTCGGTAGAAGACATGTACAAATACAAATATTAAACACAATCTAATAGGTAGAAGAAAGAATAAAAATCGGAAGTAATAAATGCGGGTAGGCATTGTATAAAAATATATGATCTTAAAGGGAACTATAACCCATAGGGTGCGTTTGGTTCATGGAATGTTGAATTACTGAAATCTTATGTTACCTTGAAGATTATTAGGAATCTTTAGAAAAATGTGTTTGGTTAATTAGTGGATATGTTATATTAATATGTTTGGTTAGGGGGAATAAATTGGTACCTATATTATTTAAATTACTTAATGCCCTCTTTTTTAATATTACTATGATATTATTTTATTATTAATTTTTGAATAATTTTTTTAACCCCCAATATTTCAGATTTAGCTAAAACCCCCCGTTTATATAAAACTTTAATTTATAACAAAATCACCCCCACCCCTGCCGCCACCGCAAATCACTGTTGGAAGTCTCCAAAATTCACCGTGAGTAGCTCACCGTGACCATGAGGCTCCAATATGGTAGTTTTCGACCATATTGATGGCCGAAAATGGCCATGTCCATGGTCGTAAACTGCCAAATCTGACCTAATATGACCGAAAATGGTCATATTGAAGCCTCTCGGAGCCTCCCAACGAATCTTGGCCATTTTTAGGGACTCCGACAACTTTTCGGCCGCGTTTCATGGTGGTTGGTCTGCTATCGGTGGTGGTGACTGGGTGGCGACGGCGACGGTGACGGTGGTCTGTAATTTGTTTTAAATATAAAGATATTATTGTCAAAAAACTTAATTAAACAAAAGTAAAATTGAAATGGTATATTAATGTAAATTTATTTTAAAACATGGGCATTATTATTCAAAACTTTTGTTGATAACGGATATAATTGTAACAAAAATAAGATTACTTCGATAATCTTACAATACCTAAGAAAATAGAGGTAATCAGATTACCTCAAATATTACCACAATAAACTATTAATAATATAAAATTACTAAAATTTTATATTATTTATAATCAAATATAATAATAAAGTAATATAAATTGGCATAACCCAATAATCTTCGCTAGCTCCAATCAAACGCCGCCTGAGAGATTTGGTGCAGGAGTCTTGATAATTTGAAAAACTTGGATACATCATACATTGCACCAATCCAAACACATAATAAAAAACATTTGAGAGACAGAGAGGACAGGTGGGTAGTGATGGCGATGGGTGAGAGTGAAGAGAGCCATAGCAGTAGCTTGGTTTCACCGTCTCTTCACGTGACAAATCGTCATTTCGCTGTTGGCCCGACTCAATCCCCAGACCGAGACTGTAAAATTCTGCATTAGGACTCCCATGTCCATGCGTTCACTAATGCTTCTTTCTTCCTTCATTTATACGCATATGCACAAATGAAGCAAAATAAATAGATTACCAATTAGATTGCAGCGCATGCTTTCGATTGTTTTCTAGAACTAGAAAAAGGGGATTTAGGTTTGATCTTGAATCTGTCTGTGGGTTCAGCTTTATCTTTATACGTATATTTTTTTTCTGGGTATTTCATCCAAACAAAGGAAAAGAGATAAAAGAGGCATGAAAAACACGAGGATGTTTGCCGAATTTTATATTTGATTTCTACGAAATATTAACAAAAGTTTAATTACAATTTTGGAATATGATTGTGTCACCAAAAAACTGTGCGAAGGAAAAAAGCAAAAACCCAGCTAGCAAACACCGGCCACTCCCACTGATGCAACTTGCATATTCCAAGAGGCACCTCCAGTGGCAGTGGCAGAGACAAACACAATACGCCAGTCTTAACACAAATTGCCCCCACCACGGTCACGTCACGTGCAACCCTGTTCCCAAACACCCACTACTATTACTCTCCTAGATATTTCCCAAAACTAATTTTTAAAAAACTCTTCTTTCTCTCAAATTTTTTTTTTGTGTGCATATTTTTATTGTTCTTTAGAAACTCCCGGAAAATAACCGGAGAGGGTAGTGATATGCTTTGGTTGGTTGTACTTTTGTTGTGTATGTGTTTTGAGATTTTTTTTTTTTTTTTTTTTTTTTCACGTGACAGGATTAAGCTTCTTCTTGAGTGGCATCTGGAGAGTCGAGAGGGAAACACGTGTCCTCCGCACCAGTGTTCCATAAAAAGTGGGCGTAATTAGCCGCGTAGTAGGAGTTTGTTGGGTCAGCAGCAATGGCTTCCAGGAACGTCTCTTCAGCTGCCCATAAATCCTTCCTTGCTTTCCATAAAAAGCTTGCGTATTTGTTAAATGCCTCTGCATCTGCATCAGCTGGCTCCACCCCAATTGCTCTCTTGAAATACTCCTCCGCTCTGGAAATCACAAACAAACAAATCAACATCTTGTCTTAATTACAGATTAACTAACGGGTGGTGATCAAATAGTTTAAACAAACCAAAGTCAACAAAGGGTTTTTCACTGGTCTAAGGTAGGTGAAATGAACAAGATATTTCTTGTGAAAACGTGGGAAGTCACGCCTAAAGGTGTGATAGCGTGAAGAAGAAGAGCTTTACACCACTGATTTCGCTATCACTTTTTAGAAAACAC